AAAAAAAAAAGCATCTTTAAAAATAAGTAAATACAGTTTTTAATTGGTCTACATGTGTAGCTCTAGTTATTTAAATTTTGCATCTCGAGGCACATGGGTGGCTCAATCGGTTAAGCGTCTGCCTTCAGTTCAGGTCATGATCCCAGGGTCCTGGGATGGAGCCCTGCTTCGGGCTCCCTGCTCGGTGGGGAGCTTGCTTCTCCCTCTCCAGCTCCCCCTGCTTCTGCTTTGTTTCTCCATCTGTCTCTCTGTCAAATAAATAAAATCTTTTAAATAAATTTTTGCATCTCTAGTTTTGAACAGTTCTGCATCAATTACTGCAACGAGAAACTCCAGCAACTGTTAATTGAGAGAACCCTAAAAGCAGAACAGGCAGAATATGAAATGGAAGGTATAGAGGTAAAGCATTTTAATATTTTCTCCTCATTTGATTTCCTACTCTAGCAAAAGTGATTCGCTTGAGCAATAATATTTCACTGGAGATTTTATCCTCATTAGTACTGGGAATTATTTTTTACTCTTTCTCTGAGTATTTCCTAGGAAATTACTCTGACATTCAGAAAGTTTTTTTTTTTTTAATGTTGGAGATAAAAATCAGATTTTGGAAAAATAACATTGGAAAATCACTTTAAAAGAGAGATTTTATGTTCATCTAAATCCTCCTTGGAGAATTCTTTTCTCTTTGTCATTTTAGTGGGAGCCAATTCAGTATTTCAACAACAAGATCATCTGTGATTTGGTGGAAGAGAGACACAAAGGAATCATTTCCATTCTGGTGAGAAAATTAATGTTGGCTTAGAGTCTTCGTACGGTGTTGCCAACACGCAGAAGAATTTCCCCCCGGGCTTCAAAGGGTTGCTTAGCCTGAGCGGAAAACCAGAAAACATAAAGGAAGGTTTTACAAAGAACGTCTGTTGATCCTGAGCTGAGGCTCCTTGGGATGCACCTGTGACTTTATCTTAAACGGTTGCACCTTCTGAGAACACCCATGGCCACCAATCCACAGTTGTTCCAATTTAGACATCACTGTTTTTAAATCTAAAGGCCAATGAAAAATTATTTCTTTGCCTTTCCATTTGCGATCATCTCCCTTCTAACGAAAGTAACAGGTCTCTTTTCTCCTCCTGCCCCCTCCTCCACCTAACTGTTGTGGGAACAAGATTCTAAAGCCCAATAGGGACATTAATGGGTGGTGACTGTAGTTACCAGGGACATGGGCACCACCTGGATTCAGATCCCAGCCCCCCCCCCCAATTGCTTACTAGCTATGTAAACTGAGGTGGGTGGTTTAACCTCTCTGAGCTCCAATCTCCTTGTCTTTAAGTGGGTGCAATGATAGTATTCAGAATTATTTTTCACTCTTTCTCTGAGTATTTCCTGGGAAATACTTAAGAGGAGTTGTAAGGACGAGTTGAGATTGTATATGCACAGGGCTTAGAATTATGCTGCTGTGTGGTAAGCATTCAGACTATTCACTCAACAGATACTCATCAGTGCTTACTTGGTACCATGATTGTACCTTGTGCTTTGGGACGCAGCAGTGGACAAAACAGATCAAAACCACTACACTCATGAGGCTTTAAATTCTAGCACAGAGACTGGCAAGAAACAGGTTAATGGGCAAAATTAGTAAGTTGTACAATGAAGGAAAAAACAGACAAGATTAGATGTGGTGGGGAGGACGATTCAATTTTAGGTAAGATGGTCTGGGAAGAGCCGTGTGGACCTCTGGAGAAGCACGTTCCAGGAAGTGCAGACTGACCTCAGCTATTCTGTGTCACTCCATGCTCATACAGATTCCTAGACTAATATTTTTAAATATTTTCGTGATAAATACTTGTTTCTATGTGGTTTTCCATAGATGGAATCAGGAAGCATAGAGATGCTACTTAAAGAGAGTTGCCTCACCAAACTGAACCCTGGTGGGTTTTTTTTTTCTTGCTGTTTTAATAAAAACTGCAGGGTTGATTCATTTTTTAAGATGGTCCATTAAATGCTAACAATGTTAAGGACCCGAAATAGGAATTAGACACAGCTGGAGAAATGTGAAAAATTAGACGCAGCTTTCTTGCCATGAAGATTTTGCTCCTAGTAAAAGGGGGTATGTTTTTGGCCAGCAATGACTGGTTAAGAGAAAATGAGGTGGTATGTTTAAGTAAGCTGGTCATGGAGGCTGTGGAATGTCCTTGGGAAGACTCTGGAAATATGGCAGTCCGATGGGTGGGAGAGTTGATTTTTCAAAGAATTTCCCGTCCCTCTGAGACGCTAGGCACATGTAACGGATCGCTGCCCTCCCACCCCCAATGTTCACCTGAACTTGTGTTAGATGACAAGATTTTAGTCCAGTACATTCTGCCACAGCTGGTAAGGACATTTAAACTTAGAATTGATGGCATGTGATGGATGCTATAGATTGAGTCCTCTCCTTTTCTCTGGAAGGATGAAGAATGTATCCGTCCTGGTCCTGCTACAGACTTGAGTTTCCTGGAGAAATTGGAAGAGAAAGTAGGCAAGCATGCACACTTCCAAACGTATGTATCTCACTTGACAAGCTGTTGTATGGGGAAGCTCATCGTATATCCACTTTCTTGGGTATCTGGGCAGTGGACCCCATAGTTATTCTTCATTCACTTCTTCATACATTGAAATGTGATGCACCATAATGATACACCAAGTCATATATATGTATACCTTTTGTTAGTAGAAATCAAATTCAAATGAATTCCAGGTAGAATGTTCTAAGATTTTGTATCTTTCTTTATGATTGTTACATTTTGGATGGGGTCACGTGCATCAAATAGTCTTTTTTGAAGTTAGGTTTAAAATATAAAATACATATAGTGATATGTGTATATCTGAAGTATACGACCCAATGAATCTTTACATTGTATGTACCTCCCTCATCACCACCACCAGATCAAGATATAGAGCATTTATAACATCCCAGAAAATTGACTAGAAATTTAATTTAGTCTTTGAGACAAGGAAGAGAGAGTTGAATATATCATGCTCAGGAGTCCTAAAGCCCTGGTCTTAGATCCCAGCTCAGCCACTTATAAGACATGTGACTTACTGGGCGCCTGGGTGGCTCAGTTGGTTAAGCAACTGCCTTCGGCTCAGGTCATGATCCTGGAGTCCCGGGATCGAGTCCCGCATCGGGCTCCCTGCTCG